CAAAATGTATAATAATAATAATAATAATACAATTGTGGGAACTTTGCATCATCATTTTAAAAAAACATCACCGCACGTCACTGAGAACAGTGTAGTTTTACCGAGCAAACAGCAGAAACGGCGAGAAAGACGGTGGCAGCTGCCACGAACTATGGCAGCTGCCAGAAACGACTAGTGGCAGCTGCCACGAACTCTGGCAGCTGCCGTGGCATCTGGGGATGCCACCGGAAGTGGCGCTGCGACCTGCCGCTGCCAGAGAGAGCGCCAGTTCCTGCTGGGATTGCGATTAAAACTTGTAATTTGACAAAAACACAATGCGTGCTTTGTTGTAACTTACCTATGTTAATTGTTCTGTCAGGTTCCTTATTTATATCTTTATTACTTTAAATCGTTGTTTATATACATCGCCTATAGGAAGCTGTTACTTTCATCTCCAGGAAATCGAAAGTTAAGACCGGCGCCGGATATCTGCTCATTCTGCTGCTGCAGTGAGAAGCGAGTGAGAAGCCGTGAGAGGCGCGATTTTGGTAATTGCTCATGCACATACTGCGACGCTGTATATAGGGCTTGTGATACGCTTATAATGTAACAATTTTGCATGATATATTTGATTTACACTGGTATTTACACATTGTTTTACTGATCAAAGGTTGGTCCCTTTGGAAGATTCGTCTTTTATGGACGCAAAGGCGGTGACTGAACCCGTTCAGTGCTGGAAAGACGTGTCACGGTAAATTGTTTGTTTGTTTGTTTGTTTTTAATTCCAAAATATCCTAGAATAACCAAGCTTCATATTTGTCACTGAAGAACGGGGAACATTTTGTTCTTAGGGAGGGAAGCATCGGGAGTATTATCACTTCATTCGTTTTATTGATGGGTGGAATCCGGGGATGAAGTAGGCTAACACTTTTTTGTTTGAGCATCAGTGTTTGTTTGCGCTAGATCTCTCAAATTTTGATAAACGGTAGCCGCATTTGTCTACTACAAATAAAACTCACTTGGACGTGTAGACCTAGCTACTACTAAAGTGAGGGGCGTCATGCAGGTGGTGGGGGTCACTGTATAACTGATATAATAGGCTTATGTTTTATTTATTTTTTTCCTTTTTATTCGAAATATTTCTAAACGTGTTAACTATATTAGGAAATATCTCGATTCTCAGATATGTGGAGCCTAATAATGCGTTTTGCACCTTTATAGATTGTTATTTGATCAATAAATGGTGATGGGCAAAGCAGGCTAATAGTGTAATCTATTAACTACACATAAAAACCCGACCAGATATGGGTGTCATGCCATAAAATATTTTTATTACAACTGACTTTAATGTGAATGTGCATTTAATGTGAATTTAATGTGAAACTTTCATTTTACAGAGAGTAAAGTACATTTACATTATCAAATAACATTTTCATTCAGTCTAGCCAGAGTTCAGGCACTCTTAAAAACTTCCATTAAAATCACAGAAGCTGTTTACACTGTGAAATGAATGTCTTACTAACATTCCTAAGCACATCTGCACTTTGTTGTTTCTGATGAGAGAATTCGCTAGATAATTCAGTCAGCGAGCAAGTGAACAAAACACCACGTTTCAGCGATGACTCATCTGAACGCCTCTGATTGGCCATTGCATTGATAAGCTCAACAGAATCGTGTGTGATTGGTTATAATGCAGCCTGTACAAATTTGGCTCAGCGCCAGCCAGCGAACACAGATTTGAATTTAGCAGCTGATGCTGTGCCGGTGTGTCTAATCGTACCGGTGTGATTGTATCAAATAAAAACATATTATTCTGCTATTTTTTGTCTTTTGGAAGCTGCATTCAAAATCCACTGTCATTCACAACTGGGGTGAATGAGTTGTAACCGAGCGGCAACCTCCCGCTCTCTCTCGTGAAGCCAACAAGGAAGTGACTTAAACTGTAATTCATCAACTGGCCGCTAGAGGCTGGCTGCAAAAGGGAGTCCTTCATGACAACTGTGAGGGGGGTGAATTTTTTTTATAACTCATCCGTTTAAATTATATTAAACCTTAAAGTTCTGCATAATTAAGAGCGTGGCCACTTGAGTGACATCGAGGTAGGTGGGCGTGGTTTCACCAACCACCCCCCGCCTCTTTGCCCATCTTCGATTATCCGGGAGTGACGTGCGGTGACGCGCTGCCAAGATGGCGACGGCCGCCTCCGCCCACTTTTGAGCTTCAAAAACTATCTTCGGAACCCTACGGGTGACATCACGGACACTACGTCCATGTTTTTATACAGTCTATGGTTGTAACACAGTAACTATGGATCGTGGAAGCGGAGGGGCCACCCGGGCTTGGGCCTGGGTTACCTTTAAGGTCTGGTGGTACCTTGTATGACATACAAAAATACATAGGCTATAGGCTCATATTATGCACGATTAATCATTATAGTCGGCATGAAACGGAAATTGCGATTGTCTTCTCTGCTGTGATGCATACATCCGAATGAAACGGCATCTGAAATGAGAGGGCTGGACTTGATTTCGTCCTTCGGGAATTAATTGGATCGTTGGAAGGTAGGGCGTTGCAAACAAAATGGAGGCAGATCTGAATGCCAGTTTGAAGTTAGTGGTGGGGGATTTCTCTCCACTGGATTCACAGCCGACACCCAAGCATGAATAAATGTTGTATTTTTTAAGGATGACGACGATGATCAACAGCACAAAACATGCCTAAACAGCGCGCGTGTGAGAGAGAGAGAGAGAGAGAGAGCCTGAATGACTGAGCGCGTCCTCCATCAGGTTAAGTCATATTCATGAAAAAAATT